ATGGGGCAGAAGGGAGATGCCATTGAGGTCTGGGTGGGAGTGATGAACAGTTGGGGAATTGTTCAGTTTAGTAGCATTCTAGAACAGTGGAAGACAGTGATAGGGTTTGCTGATAGCAAGATCAGCCTGATTTGAAGGGGAGTGAAAGTGAACATTGGAGGGAAGAATTTAGAAAACTGGTGAAGACCTAGATTCCAGTCGTTCATCCTCAATGTGCCTTCAGGAAAAGGTAGTGAAATAGTTTATACTACTTATCCTGAGTACTGTTTATGCTTACAGCAAACTGAAGTATATTAGAGAATTGCTTATGGCACAAAATGAAAGATTGGAAGATATAAAAGAATGGAGATCAATTGTGGATACTAGAGGTAGTGTAGGGGAGGGTGGGAAATGGGAGAGGGTGATAGGAAAGGAATCAAGGAGGAATAAAAAGAAAATATTTAAGGGCCACAAAAATGGAAAATAATCTGAAAATTATTTATAAAGAAATAAAAATATTTATATATGAGAATTAATACAGGATATATATGTATAAAAGAAAGAAGAGAAAGAAAAAACGAACTCCATCCAGGCTCTAAACTTGGCCTGGCTATGGAATGTTTTCTGTAATTCTCAATCTGGTTATGATTTACAAAAGTAATTGGAGGTGTGACTGTTTGCGGCTTTTATTAGGTTCGTGATATAGAGAATAACACAGAAGCCAATCTTGACAGGAACTAGAGTGAATGCAGAAGTTGTAGATAGGGAAACAGTACAACTGAGATTACATTTCAGGAAACTCAGAGTAGTGTTCGAAGTGCTGATTCAGTGTATTTCATGCTTCAACTGTATATGTGTGCACGCGTATGTGTACTTCGAGTCATCAAAGATCTAGATCTTTTTTTTCCTTTTCTCTTTTCTTTTTTTGGTAGTTTTTGCCGTAGAGTGCATGCACTCTCTAGAGAGAGACGGCAAAAGTGAGAAATCACCCCCCGGGGGAATGGCCACTTTGCAACCCCTTCTCCTCCATTCTCCTCCAGGAATCTTGGGCACACATGCACATGTGCCCAGCATGAGTTTCAAGCTATCATGGTCAGCCATGTGGGAGTCCAGTGACGTAGCTGCTTCGCCATCTGCTGGACCTTCTAGATCCTTTTCTAGCTTAGACCGTGCATATTTCTTGTGGGTTCCAGTTTGCATCTGCACTAAGAAAATACAGGATCAAATCACAGTAAGTGAATATGCTTTAGTGTTTGCTACAATATTAAAAATAATTAAGAAGAGTTAGTTGTTAAGATAATTAGTAATAAATAATAGTAAATTCCTCACAAGTGCTATGATGTGGCAAACTATGTCTTCCTATTTGTGGCTAAGCAGTATAGCTATTGATGAAATGAAGGAAATGGATTTTAAAAAACATTTATTCAATTATAGGATTTGAAATGTATCATGAATATTTTAAAAAGCATAAGAAAGACAAAAGCCTCAGGAACCTACTCCGCCAGATTAAATAAATGTTAATATTTGGCTTATGTTGCTTCAGTCTTCTCTGTTTCTGAAGCAGTAGAACCGCAGGCACAGCTGAGGAAGCCATTTGTCCACTTGTGTTCTCTCTCTAGGAATAAGCACTTTCTGAATTTAGTTTGTGCCAGTGCCAGATATTGAAAAAAAAAAGCGCTGTCCATTAACAGTGTATTTTATGATGTTTTTAATATTCTAATATTTTAATATAAAATAACTGCACTTCTCCACATGATTCTCCACAACGCAAACGGTAATCATTTTATAATTTTTTGTTGTCAGCCTAGCATTTAAAACAAAATACATTTTTGTCATAACTTTCTGACCTAATGACACAAATTGAGGTGGCTATAAACTTTTTTAACTGTAATTACATAATATATTTTACTTCGTGACCAAATACATGTCGTTTACGTGTGTGTGTGTTATGTGGTTTGTATATTTGTGATGCTGAGAAATCCTTTCTCTAAACCATAGTCTGTTGTACTATGTGTGATATACTCTGTAACTTTCTAGCAGTACATTCCTAAAATGCTTGTTTTTCAAACTTAATGAATTGATTTTATAACCAAGTAATAAATTGTCACCCATGATTTAAACAATATTATTCTAAGATTAATCTAAAATGGACCTAATGGTAATTAACCTAAAATTAATATTGACTTTAATATATAAACATAATATTTTCTGATGTAATAAAATGCTTGAAACAATAGACAGTACATTAAAATAGACTTTTACACAAGATTTGATTATATTTATTTTGGCTAATTCATTCCAACTAGTTGTCTTCTATAAACTAAATCCATTCATGTTATCCATTTAAAAAGTAAGTATTAATTAATCGAATGCCTGTTGGTTGGAGTAAAATAGCTTCTTTCAGTTTGTTCTGACCTTGCTTTACTTGGAATCAAGGATGGGTGTCATAGTGGCAGGGAAGGAAAGAATCTTGCAGGCTCAGACATTGACCCCCAGATCCATCACCAGGAAATATATACATATGGCCTCCAATGTAATGATGGTGTAATTTATAATATTTCAAGTTTATGATGATGTAAAAGTGACGTACCTTCAGTAGAAAGTATACTTTGAATATCTGTATGGCCATTCTGGTTTTTTTCCCACTTTCAGTAGTATTCAGTAAATTATATGAGGTAGTGAACAATTTGTTTATTTTTTATTATTGTAGATTATTTATTTTATTATTACTTTTTAAAAATCAGAGAAAGACAGAGATAGAAAGAGAAAGTGAGAAAGCAAGCTGCTAGGTCCAGGACTTGAACCTTAGTTAACCATGTGGGAGTCCAGCACCTTAACCACCACACTACCTGCCAATCCCTTAACAATTTATTGGACAGTAGACTTGGTGAGATTATTTGCTCGCCTTTAATTAAAGTAATGTAACTTTTCTGAGCACATTTAATGTGGACTAGGCTAAACTATGATGTGCAGTGCAGTAGGTGTATAAAATACCCTTCAACTACATGATATTTTCAATTTACAATGAGATTATTGGAATATAGCCACGTCTTAAATCAAAGAGCATTTGTATAGACTTACTGAGTCTTTTAATCCTTCTGTCCTTTAGTTTTTTTTTTTTTTCATCTTTTAAAGGAGAGTGTTAACTACATCTTGAATGTACATTCATTCTGTGAAATACAGGATGACTGGAATCTGAACCTCAATTTATTAGAATCTGCCAAGAATATATCTGATTGGCAAAACAACAACCATCATCACCCCAGGGCTTTCTACTGTAATGACTGGTTTTCTCATTGCATTTAAATAAGGGGTAAATGCATTATATTCAGTTTAAGATGGCCCCTTAAGCAGGATTTTTAATTTTTCATCATAAAGCCATTTTGAAGAAATCCTGACTTTCTCAAGATCTCCCTACTTTTTCATTATATTAGCTCTCAGTGAGGGACAGTACTATGTGAATATATATGTGAACACACATACATCCCACGAATGGCAAGGGGGATGTTCTTCATTCCATTTTAGTTTAATGTCCTCATAGAAAATCCAAAGCTACAGGAAATCTATAACCTTTCATATGTCCTAGGGGACAGACAGTTCCATGAGTCCCATACATTGCAGTAGTGTGAGGCGTTTAGGAATTTTCCTTTTTTAACTTGAATTATACCTTTGGAATAGAATGAAAATGTATTAGCTAAACTATATATCCTTAAAATTGTACTTTTCACAATGAATCCTTTATATTTTATTTTGTTTCTGTTTCTTTTTTTTTAAGAATTATTTATTTTTATTTTATTTATTCCTTTCATTTTATTTTAATTTGATCAGAGAAAGACACAGAGAGAGAGAGAGAGCGGGAAAGTGAGAAAGAAAGCCATCAGGTCCAAGACTTGAACCGTGGTCGACCATGTGGGAGTGTCCAGTGACTTAACCACCACGCCACCAGCTGGTCCCTTGTTTCTGTTTCTTTTAAGAATAGGAGTTTAAACTGTAGTTTGGGGTAAAGTAGACCTTAGAAACTATCTCATCCTGTTTTGCTTCGGAGAAAATGACCAGCATATGCTTTTGACTCATCTCTAGGTGGAGGCAACATTAAAGGATGACTCTTAATTTTCTCTAGGTTCCCATATTCTTTTGGTTTGTAGATTATTTTGGAGGCAGCTCTAGGTTTAGAAAGACCTAGAGACTCAGTTCTAACTTACATCTGTCCCTCCCAGAGGCTTGACACATTGTAGAATGTGATCATTCTCAAAGATCTCCTCCTACTTAAGGGACTAATGATTGCTTTTCCTAAGGGCACCAAGGTAGATGTAAATCTTGGGGAGAGGATCCTCCAGTCCACGGATGACTGATGCATCGGCTCTCTTTCTTCTTCTTCGTCTTCATCTTCGTTGTCGTCATCGTCTTCATATTCCTCCCTCTCTTCTCCTTCTCTTCCTTCTTTACTTTACCCATCTACCTCTTCCATGAGCAAGAGAGACAGAGAAAGATATAAAGAGAGACAGTACCCTGAACAGGATCTTGATGCTGCAGTCTACCTCTAGCTCTAGCCAGACCTGGGTCATGGGCATGCCTGCACCCTGTGATCTTGGGAGATCTCCAGAAAGGAACCCAGAGCCCTCCCATAAAGGATCAGCTTGCCAAGTGTTGCAGTTTACCTCTGCACCTTTGTCTGGCCCTCTAAATTTCCTTTACTCCTCTGACCATGCAAAAACTCGACTCTCTCAGTAGTAATATGTAGAACATTTGTTGACTCTTCTGTTTTAACAGTACTTGCCTTCAGCTTATAAAAGTGGAGTGGAATTTCTGAACCTCTGGGTTCTAAGCAGACACTATGTGGACTTTTGTAAATGAAGACATAATACCTAACTAGTCTCCATTTTAGGCATTCTGAGTTATAAGCTGATTATCTTGAAACATTTGACTTGATTTTTTTTTAAGTAAACAAAATCATTTTCTCTTTGTTTTAAAATACTACTAATGAGCCTCGGGGTCTGTTGTTCTTCTCTCATCCTTTGCAGTGTGCCGAGATTTTGCTGTCCTGGAGGACCACACCCTGGCTCACAACCTGCAAGAACAAGAAAGTGAGTAATGGAACTCATTCATGTTCCTGAGGTTGCATTTTTTTTAAGTGGTAGCTTGAGGTTGGTTTCTAAGGGTGAGGTAACGAGAGAACACCATCTTCCGAAGTATTTGTGTAGGCAAATGAATGACACCTGGCTGAAGAATGAAATTTTGCCTGTTTTGAAGTGAGACAGACTGTCAGGGACTGGAATGACTATTGGATAAAAAGGAGGACCTTTTCCCTGGTTGTAGTGATGCAGGAAGGAAACAATGGTTGTAGGTATATCTGGGGTGCATGGAAGACTGACATGGGAATCTATCCCTGCTTCTAGAATAGGGACCTGAACATCTTTTCCAAGCAGCAGTGATCTAAATTAGGACATAGCATGAAGTTTTCTGAATATTTTTGCAATATATTGATAGAAACTATATTGAAGTTATAAATTTTACAAAAGTAGTTTTTATTTTATTTTTTAGAGGATTTTTGCTATAGGGCACGTGCACTCACCAGACAGACAGAGAGAGACAGAGAGATAGAAAGCGAGAAATCACCCCCCAGAGGGGATGGCCATGCCGCAATTTCTTCTCCACCGTTCTCCTCTCGGGATCTTGGGCACGTACACACACACGTACCCGGCGTGAGTTTAAGCCACCGGGCCCGGGACGCAAACTGTGGTGGACTACGTGGGAGTCCAGCAACATAGCCATTATGCTAACTGCTGGTCCCTAATAGTACTTATTTTTAAATAGGTGATTTGTGAATCAATTTCTGTATTGATATAAAAAGTATAAAAATAGCAGTTAATTATGTAGAAGAATGGTAACATGTGATAATAGAAAGACAATGGGGCTAGTTTTAGAATATTTACTGGTACTTTGACTTTACCATGTGACCAAAGGTAAATTACTTAATTTTCCTAATCCTTGTTTTACTTAATGGAAAATGGAAATAATAGCTCCTGTGCAGTCTATGATACAGGATTATTGAGAACATAGAATAAAATGATGGAAGGGAACCTCTTTTAAATGTTAAAATCTTCCTGAGTTTATTATAAGGCATGGTAATTCCTTTCTTTCCTCCTCCCGTCCAGTTGAGCATCATTTAGCATCGAACATTCAGCGGAACCGTTTGGTCCAGCATGATCTCCAGGTGGCTAAGCAGCTCCAAGAGGAAGATCTGAAAGCTCAGGCTCAGCTCCAAAAACGCTACAAAGACCTGTGAGGATTTGGGGAATGGGAGGGAGAAAGGTCAGGACTGGCTTCCTCGTAGAGTGAGCCAGCAGCTAAAGCAGGGGAGAAAGAGATTCCTCCTGTCCCTCTAACTGCTTTCGTTGTTAGCATACAGATCTTTTCAATAGTTTTCTTTCACTTAAAACATTTTCTTTGTTATTGGAACACTTGACTTAAGTCTTAAGACATGTGGGTTATGATATGAACTCCAACACTTTTAGCTGTGTGACTTTGAACCAGTAGGTCAACTTCTCTGAATTTATTTTCCTGACCTATAAGTAGGGAAAATAATCTCTGTCCTTTCTGCTTCCTAGTTTGTTTGGAAGAGCTAATGAAATAATGGACATCAAAGAATTGTATAATTTGTGTTGGGTTCCTTTGCTATTTTCTTTCTTTCTTTCTTACTTACTTACTTACTTACTTAGGGAGATTTTTGCTATTTTGCACATATAGTCATGGAGAGATAGAAAGACAGAAAGCAAGAAACCACCCTCCAGAGGGGATGGCCATGCCACAGTCCCTTTTCATCCAGACTCCTCTCTGGATTTTGGGTACACACGCAAACATGCCTGGTATGAGTTTCAAACCGCTGGGTCTGGGACTCGAACCACAGTCAGCCATGTGGGAGTCTAACAACATAACAATTAAGCCATTTGCTTTGCTGGGTTCCTTTGCTGTTTCCTACCTATATTTGTTGCTTTTCATTTCTGTAGACATTTGCTTTTCAAAAGTAGCAGAATGTTCCTGAAAGCTGAATTGTATACTCAGTTCTCGTCATAATTTCAGTGTCTGACAAAAGTTCTTCCTCAGTCATTTCATTTTTTAAAATTATTTATTTAATTTATTTAGTGTTGTTATTTTAAGTTTTGTCCAGATAGAAACAAAAAGAGAGAGAGAAAGTTAGAAAACAGTTCACTAAGTCCAGGACTCAAACCATGGTCGCCTATATGGGAGTCCAAAGCCTTAACCACCACACCTCCTGCTGGTCCCAGTCATCTCCTTTAATAAATGCAAATAGATCATTTCTAAGGTCCCTTATATAACAATGACTTTCACTCTTTTTTAGTGTTTCAAAGCACACAGAGTACATTTCTTCTCTGAGAGTAGCTCTTAGAACCTAAATTTCTTGTGGTAGATTAAAAAAAATATGTTGAGGAAGAAGGGGTAAAGGGAGAAGTGAGGGGGACCCCTTAATTTAATGTCATATTCAAAAGTAGAAATGCCTATCATTTTTGCTGCCTTCAAAGAAGGGTTTGTCTTTCTGTTTATAATTTGCAGAGAGAGATTCATTCATCATTTTGTTAAGATTTCTGATGTTGTAAACAAACACATTTTTGACTATTGCTAAAAGCACTGGCGATCAGAGATAGAGGCGAGATGTAACCTTTGTTTTTAAGGACCTCAGTAAAATGCCTGAAGCAGTGTGTATCTAGAGGTTCGTGAATGAGTAATGGATAATTGAATTGTAAATTTCTTGCTCAAGAAGGAAAAAAAAAAGACTGGGAAAAGCTTTATAAGACGTGATATATTTCATCTAAACCTTGATGATTAATTTGGTGTTTACAGTGATCATTTAGGAAAACTATTCTAGCTGAAAGGAATAGCATCCTTATGGGCAGAAGGTAAAAGGACCTAGAATCTCATGGTAGCTGTAAGAAATTCAGTATTATTAGAGTGAGAGCATAATTATGGGCATAAATAGGAAATGAGGCCAGAAAAGTCAAGCGATGGCTGCACCAAAGTCAAACGATGGCTACACCAAAGTCAAACGATGGCTACACCAAAGTCAAACGATGGCTACACCAAAGTCAAACGATGGCTACACCAAAGTCATAAAGATGGCTACACCAAAGTCAAACGATGGCTACACCAAAGTCAAAAGATGGCTACACCAAAGTCATAAAGATGGCTACACCAAAGTCAAAAGATGGCTACACCAAAGTCAAAAGATGGCTACACCATCTGAGACTGAACCCTGCATTGAGGGTTATGTAATGGGGACATAACTAAGGGGAAACAGATGAGGGTTTTCGAGGTTCAATGTCACAAAGGACGTTGAGGACCAGAGCTAGAATGTTTCAGAGTTCTGAGTTACCAACTTTAACATTATTCACAGTTCTCTGTTAGGTAGGCCAGTTATGAGATTGATGCAAAAGTTGAGGATTCTCAGTTAGGGGAGTGATAAGGAATATAATACAGTTATTCAGAGATGACTGATTAATTACTGTAACACATGAAAGGAGTGGAAGAATGTCAGGTGGTAAGTCCCAGAAGAGAGAAGAAGCAGTCTATATAGTCTATATTTTGGTCTTACACCGAAAGGTCTTAGAAGTGTTCCTGGCTGAAGATAAGCAAGTTAGAAAGAAGATCTTGATTTGGTTTTCTCTCCCTGTGCTTTCATACAGCTGGGCATCACGGGAAGTATGAAATGTAGCAGATTTTAGAGCTTTTCACTCAGTCTGTGTCCTGGGACCACTGTCCCAAAATCAGGCTTATCAATTGTTTACTCCTTTCTCACTTGTTTATGCGTCCTGAGGATTCTGTATAATTTGTGACTAAACAAGAACTGGTTCTTTTTGGGATTATGGTTTGAAATTAGCTTCATTTGAAACTTTCTTTTCTTTTTCTTTTTTTTTTTTCTTTGTGCCAGGAGATAGATAGACACACAGACTGATAGACATTCTTGTGTCACTTATGATCTTTAATGCTTCACTTGAATTCACCTTCTATCCTATGCATCTGCTTTCTCACCATTTATTACCAGCTCACATGATGTTAGTAGTTGCTTATTCCTATTGAGAGACCCAGACAGAGAAGTCTTTGTAAACTAAGACCATGCTTCTGTGCATGATTCTTAATTATTGCAAGTGCATGAATGTAAAGAAGAAATATAAATATAAATATGTCCAAGTAGATTTTTTTCAAGTAATTCTTTTTAATTGCCAGAGGGCATTTGCACTTAGAGAGAGAGAGAGAGAGAAAGTGAGCAAGCAAGCACCCCCTGGTGGGGCATGATCATGTTTCAGTCCTTCTCCATTTTCCATCCTGCTGGGACATGTATATACACACATCTGGTGTAATTTTCAGGCCTCCGGGGCTGAGATTTGACTGTGATTGGCCATATGGAATCTGGCTCCCTTAACCACTAGACTACAGGGCTGACCCCAGCATTATTTTAATTGATTAAAAAAATCTGATCCTTATTCTTACTACTCTAATATAAGTCTGACGTTTAAGATTAATTATTGAAGCTTATTCATTTTTCTTTTAACTTTGTATTAATGACACAATGGTAATGTTTGTGACCATGAGTAGCTGAACAAATTTTTGTTTATTTTCATTTCTTCGGTTTCTGTGTATAAGAATACCAGAGTATTAGATATTTCATATGAAGTAATTAAGTGAGGAATCTTATCGCTCATAAAATAGCAAGAGAGAGCGTGATCTGCAGTTATCCATATTAGAGGAAGGCTAGAAGTCAGATCTGCAGACTTCTTGTCCAGTGATCTTCCTCCTGACCTTTAAAAATGTTTTGTTATTTCTGGCTTGTGCTCTCTGTCTTCTGTTTTCTTGTTTTCTTTCTGCCATGTGTGTGCATACATACTAGGACACATGTATGTGTGTATGCACACAAATCTGCTCTCATCTATATCTGTTTCCAAACTTGTTCAGAACAACTGTTACGTTACACAAATGAGAATAATTTTTATTCTCTCAGTTTTGTTAGCTTGAAATATTTGGGTTTAAATTCCTCCAGAAAAGTTAGGAGGCTGTTCTCTTCCCTCATCTTTTTTTAAATTTCAAAAAGTTGCCATTAAACATGGAATGTATCACCAAGATTGAAAATTAATGAGTACTTTATGTTTCTAGCCAGCCAGGCTCGTGGGTGTGCCCAGGGCATACCTGGTGTGTTCAGGCTGACCTGGGTCTGAAGCAGAGGTCTCACATGGCTTGAGCATCTCGCAGCGGTGCCTTACTCTCCGTGCCATCACAACTTTATAGTCAGCTCCAGCCACGTTATTGTTTATCTTTCTTTTTTAAGATTTTCCCTCTCTCTTATGAGAAAGACAAACACAAACTGAGACAGGCACCTCCAACAGTCTTCATGCCGTCATCCACCCTCAGTCCCAGCCAGCCGGGATCATGGGCATATCCGTGACCATCTGGTGTGCTCAGAGAGCTACCAGGGTATGAGCCCAGGCCCACTCTCATGTGCGTCTGGTTGTGTTACCACTGAGCCACCACCCAGCCCCTTTTACTCATCTTCCTGAAATTAACAGCTTTGTGGAAAAGGCTGACTCTCTGGAGCTATTACATTCTAGAGTTTTATGCTGATCACTGAGTTTTTGGTTTGGAAACCAGAGTACACTTGTCCCTGGGAGCAACTTTCATAGCCATTTCTGAGAGAACCAAGCTCCATTTTTTTGTGTAACTGCTGTTATTAAGATGTTTTAAAAGATGTCTTCCACCCAAATGGTTTCTCTTGTTTCTCTTACCAGAGTGTTTTGTGAGCTTTGGAATACAAGATGAGATTTACACGTTTTTTTGTCCTCAGTGTTGAGCATAGTGTCTGGCTCATAGTTGGTATTGTTGAAGTTTTCACTAAGTCCATGAATATCGAAAGCAAGTAACTAGTAGAACAAAAGACAAAAGTCTCTGGTAATGTCAGTATTACACCATTTCATTTTCTTGTTTTCTGTGACATCAGCCAGAATCTTCTACTTATTGAAGACCAAAGCTGGGTAGTACACACTTTTTTCTTTTCTTTTGTAAACCTAGTTTTTTTCTTTTTTTTCAATCATTCATTGTTGAAACAGAAAAACATATATATATATATATATACACACACACATACACACACATGTAAATAAAACATTGGAAAAAATCATTTCAAAGTCATACTGTCTTTTCTAGATGACCGTACTATGATTGACATCTTAGTGAGTTTGACCCAGACTTTTTCAGTGTGTCTCTAGTGGGGTATTTCTAGACATTAATTCCGTAGGCTATATCACCTTTGCAGAATCTCGAGAAAATATGCCTCTTTCTGCAGAGTGGCCTCAGTGGGGTTGAACTGATACAATAGTGTGGAAGAAGCATCGGGCACTCCATTGTGGTGTCTCGGGATCAGATTCCATTTGTGCCACTTACTTTCTTTGTGATGGGGAAATAATTTGATTTCTCTGGGCCTCATGTTTCTTATCTGGAACATATGACAGTACCAGCATATTTGCATCATATTGTGAGGATTCATAGTGTATAATCAATAAATTGTAAATAAAATTTTGCTTATTGAGAAAAATTACTAGTTATTTTCTTTATCCATGTTGCTTTCACTTTGTTTTTTAGAGAACAACAAGACTGTGAAATTGCTCAGGAAATTCAAGAGAAACTGGCTATTGAGGCAGAGCGACGACGCATTCAGGAGAAGAAGGATGAGGTACAGCTTACTTAATGCCCCTCTGCCCTCGGAGGAAGGGTGCTCAGCTCTGGCACGGACACATTCCATGTTAACGGCTGCAGAATTTTCCTCCTTTGGGGTTCAGTAGTTCAGCTATTGTCCTGTGCAGGCCACAGTGCCCTTGATCACAGTTGCCCAAGTTGTGAAATCTTGAGAGATTCTATGGATCATCGGACATAAGATGTGAATTAGTTTGCTGGGACTGTGGTAATCTGTTAACACAATGGAAATTTATTGTCTCTCTGTCCTGGAGGCGAGAATGTAAGAACTAGGTGTTGGCAAGGTCATCCTACCTTCTGGAAAGGACCTTTCCTTTCCTCTGCCCAACTCCCGTGACCTCTGGGGTTCAGTGGCATTCCATTGTAGCTTGTAGCTACATCACTTCAGTCTCTGCCTCCATTGATCACATGGTCTTCTTCCCTATGAGTTGTGACCTCTGGTCTTCTTATGTGGACACTAGTCATTCAATTGAGGACTCATTCTAATCCAGTAGGACCTCAGTTTCACTAATTACGACAGCAAAGACTGTGTTTCCAAATAAAGTCACATTCTGAGGTTCTGAGTAGAGATGAATTTTCAGGGAGCAGTCTTATGTAGCTTACTGCAAGGTATATGTCCTTGACTTATTCTTGCAGTTTTAGAGGATCGGACTTCAGGTATAGCCTGAATAAGAGCCAGGGAGTAGTCCTGGAGAGAGGCCAGGAGCTGGCATTGCTCTCACTGTCTCTGTTTCTTAATGGTTTCATTTTCCTATGCTCTGTTAGCTCAAAGAGCTATTTTGTGTGATTCTGTTTTTAAATTGTATGATATGTAAAGGTGAAAGGAGTTGAATTTTGCAATAATGTTTGTTTTGTGAGAAAATTTGAATTTAACTATCATTTTCTTTTATGTTATATATTTTTTAAATTGCCTGTTTTAATGACACCATGGATATGTATTTACAGAATTCACATAGCTTATATCATACCTTAACAATTAATGTTATACACATAGAACAGTTTAACAGTAGCAGTCTGTTTAAAATGTTAAAGAAAACCCTTTATAAGTGGACAAGGTTGTGTTACTCATAACCTGTACTAAAGTCATAAACATCATCCTCTTCAGTCACTTTATCCAAGGTAAAAGATCCTGCAGACCCGTTACCTGGTACGGACTCTTCAGGTTGTGCCACCCACATCTCTTCTGCAGGGGATGTGTTTGAAGCCCTTTCGTCCACTTCTGCATCCACACTTTCCTGGTCACTGTCCATGTCTTCATCCTCCTCCTTTTCCTCCTGTTTCTTCTGTTTTTGTTTTGGCAATCCTTCAGGTATATCCTTTTCTTCCGTTACCCCGTTTGTCAGACCCAGGGACTGGAAAAGGATGCTATTGGCTAAACGAGGACCCCTGATGGCTTGTTTGCTGTGTGGGGTGTTTTGTAGTTCTTTCAGATTAAATCCCCATTTCATGTCTGCCTTGATACTCTCATTAAGATGTGGAGGAGGAGTCCAGGATGTAGGGACATGGCAACAGTAACCTAAAGAGGCACCTGTCCACTCAGATCATAGCAGTTTAGCAGCATGTTCAACACTTGGGCTTCCCCCTTTTTGATGCAGACCTCTTCTCTGAGCAAAGCATAGTGAGAAACTCCAGTGAATTCTTACAGTCTGGGCCATTGTATTTCAGTACTACCTGTCGAGTGTCAGTCTGGGATAGGATGGCACTGGCAGCCTCTACTGGCCTTAGTGCTTCAGTGCTTGCTGGACTTTGTAGATCAAGTGCAGCGGAGGAGTTAAGTGGAGAGACAATGAGGCATGGACTGTCTATGACTGTAATCTGTTTGTCCAAGGGGACAACCTGCATGCTCCTTGTAAGTCCCATGGATACACCAACGTTGCATATGCTTTTTTGTTTTAAGCTATTGATGCTGCTGCTTTTGCCCACATTTGGAAACCAATTACTCCAACCAAATAGATGTGCCAGATGTCTCCTGAAAACCTCATAGAAGTTTCCAAAGTCCTTGTTTTCCAAAGCAGACTTCACTCTTGAATGGAGCAGCCTTCTTCTTTACCTTGGTTATACTCCTTTTGTCCTTCTGATGTGTCGAAGCTCTGAATACCACTGTTGGCAATTATTTCTTCAAATAATTTAGCCAGCTCTCCAAATTCTCTCTTGGTACCAGATCTTATTTATTTAATACAAGTACGAACTTTTTCTGTCCACTCTGGACAATAGCTTCTTCTACCTGAGGACATCTGCAACCGAGAGGCTCTCTGGCATCCAGTACCTCTAACAAGACATCTGAGGCTTCAGTCATCTTTTTCAGTTCCTGACAATATATAACTTCTTTGGGCTCTGTTTAACAGACTTGGTTCTGTTCTTAGTGTTGCACTGCCTGGATTCCTCCTTCACAGGTTCCACATCGGATGGCTTAACATCAGGGTTAGCTTCAACTTTTCTTTTCTTTTCTTGTTCCTTCTGCCTGTTCAGTTTCTGCTGCTGTTTGAGTTCTTCAAGTCACTGTTTTCTCAGCTCAGCTTCCCGAAGAAGAGCCTCCTTAAAGGGAGCACAATTTGGAACTCCTGGGTCTTTCTTAGGCTTCTTATGACCCCATTTTTTAGCTTCCTTCCTCAATTTTCGATGGTGCTCTCAAATCTTTTTTTGGATCTTATACTGCTTATGGCAGGTCATGCGCTTACTTGTTTTCTTTAATTTTGGCCGCTTCATGGTGGTTGTGGAACTGGTCCAGGCAGCAGAGACAGGAGAAACAACATGCTTCCACGGGCGCCATGTGTGAACTCTTTTATGTTATATTTTTAGCACTTCCTGTAAAAAATTCTTACCAGTGTACATCAAGTCTATGTCATCTTTCTTTCATACCTATTATACTATTACTAGCTTCCGTTTTGAATTAGAATAGAGAAGAAGATGACTTATTGTTTTTAATAGTACAGTGACCATGCAGTTTGCTAAATACCTATAAACATTTTTGAGGGCTAAAGGGTCATTATTAATAATTATATAAACTGGGACTGTGTTGGACATACCGTGATAGGGTTATCAGTAGGCTAGCCTACATACAGTACTGCTTCCACTGAGCCATCTTTGTTTCTGTAAGACTTCTTTTTTCGATACCAGTGAGTATGAGACACCTGGTATTTAAGAAAAAACTGTGGCTATGTGCTATCAAAACTGCAAGAATGATTATTTTATATTCTTCCTGTTATCAACACAAGAGGCTCTTTCTTATTACAGGATGTGTCAGGTCTTAAAGACTTTGCTTTGGTCATGAACTGGGAACTGAAAGAAGCAATTATATTTTGTAGACAGGAAAGCGTCTATTTTAAAAATAACAGTAATGAAAGTTGGCTTCTTATAAATGCTACTTGGTATCCCATTTTTTCCCCCCTTCTTTGGGGAAAAAACAGGATAGAAGAAGAAATAGAAACACTTTATATTTAGGCCTATATGACTTACATAATAACCACAGTAAGTAATTTCATGGTAATACTGTATAAATTAAGTGTTGTAGCGATTAACTCCCCTTTCGGGGTGAAGAAAAGTTAAGTTAAAGAAGGAAATTTTTGATCTCAAGTTATAAGCTGCCAGAAAAGTGTCTGTATAATTCAGGATCCCTGACTGACTGCTTCTGACTCAGATACGCTGTGGCACAACAGAAACATATGGGCTTTGGAGTTAGTCTAGCTTAGATTTGAATTTTAGCTCTTTAATTTTTAGCAGAGTGATTTCAGCACCTCCCTTCACCATATAGAACCTTGAGTTTTTAAATGGACTAGTCATGAATGTTGCACATGTCTTAATGGGCTGTTGAGAGGGTTCCATGAGATCTTATGTAGGAAGCCTCTGGTATGTACTGTACTATGTTAATGATTGCTCATTCCTTTCTATATTCTTGCCAAATGTTTTTCCCACAGTTCTGCCCTTAAAACAACCGTAATGTCTCCTATAGAGAGATATGTGCTAAATTAGGAAGGAGAAAATGAAGACAAGCTTAAGTGTGTTCCAGTGAGTGGGATTTGAGGGGTCTTTAAGCATTTTTCTGCCCATGCAGCCTCCCATGAACTTGCCCTTCTCTACTGTTGACCTACTGGAATATTCTTCCTCTCCCAGTAGAGTGGAAAAGCTAGAGAAATTCAGTTGTGGAGGTTTAGTGACTGGATTACACTAGTCTTTAACAACTTCTTTCAGATACTTTTCAACTTAAGCTTTAGATTCGAAGATGGCTACTTTACCAAGAAGTTCTTTTATCCTAGGAAAATGTGGCTTTCAGCTGACTAGTATACTGTAATAATAAATGAACAAAATCTGCATTGTGAGGCTTGTCTCTGAAGGATGTGTGATAATGCTTTTTATTTAGTCCATTGGAAATGGCGCCTTGAAGGCTGGCGAGACCAAGACTGAGACAACAGTGCTAATTCTTATGCGGGCCAATTTTGGAAAAAGCATTGCCCGTTAGTCATGAACTGTCCTACTTTTGTTTCGTTTTGTTTTGTTTTTCCAAATGTGTTCTTCTACTTCCCTGTAGTTAATAACTTCTTACTCAGTAGGAGAGCAGTGGAAAATTCCTTTCTGGACTTTTACCCAGATGTTTTTTAAGAGATTTTTGGAGGTCAACTCTTTTGAGTAGTTTATAACCCCTTCCTCCCTCAAAATAATCAGAGGAAGAGACGAAAGCCCCATTTTTCTTAGGTGGAAATTTTTTCTGAATAGTATTTCATGTGTGAAGTAGTGGAGTAATACAACTATGAGTGGGTGAATTAGCATCTCCAGCTTTGTTACAGTATAATTTTACTGTGCTTGTTTACAAAGCACAGATGTAAGAAAGTAGCATTTTATTCAAGAAGATAGATGTGGAAAAGTGAAAAAATTAAAAAAATAGATTTTTTTTTAATCTTCCCGGCATCGTGGGCTGTCTTGTTTCCCTCCTTTAGTCCTCCTATTTTCCTTTTTCTCTCTTTCTCCTGTTGCTTTTTTTCTATT